TACCGAAGCTTCGCGCGGGTGAGCACCGTGGGACGCGGGAGGGAGCCTGGAGGGCGGCCGGGCCGGAGCTGGCTGGGGTGGGGTCGCGGGTCTTGCCCCGGACTGGCCCTGGCACCGGCCTGTGCGGGTGACACCGGAGCCCGGCGAAGTGTCTCGGTGACTGCAGTGCACAGCCTCCTGGCCGGCGGCTCGCTAGCGTTCCTGCTTCCCTGCCTCAGAACTGCTGCCCTGACTTTCACCCGGATCTCACCGGCGCAAGCCGGGACGCCAGCCTCAGAACGCCCTTTTCTGACATGTTTTTAGTATTCAGGCTTTTTCACTGACTCTGCACCTCCTCCCACTAACACCCCCAATCTCTACCTTTGGTGACCTGGTAGGTTCAAGTGACCTTGCAAATTTTTCTATTCCACGTCTTGTGATTTGGGCCCTTTTCTTTAAATCTTCTTTTAAAATTTAAGTGTTGTTAGAATTTGGTACTTTCCCCATCTCATTTACAGTCTTTATATGATCAGTTTTGTGTGCCTAGACTGTGTGTTCCTTTCCTTTACTCATAGGTTTGGAGTTGAAGTTCCTCTCCTTTAAGCGATCGTAAGAAACCTTTATTACCACAAAGAAGGTGTATCTGTTATACTTTTGAAATATTTTACTCTTCCACTATAAAATAATCCACAGATGTCTGGTATTTTTTAATCAGATTTTTATCTTTTTGTGTGCAGTAAGATTGAATTTCTACTCTTAAAATGCTGCAAAAAAATGACGCTCAGAATTATTTTTCCACTCCCGTTTGGTGTTTTTCTTGTTTTTTTCTCATGAAATACCCGTTTTACAGTTGTCCGTAGGTTTCTGCAAGAGTTTATGCTTGTGTATAAATCCACTCGACATGTTTCACCAAGTCTGTAACTGTTAGTAAAACTCATCTTTTAAAAAAGATATTCTTTCATTTATCTGACTTGCTTTAGCTATGAAGTAATATACTTAAACTGACTGAAAATTACCATTTTTAATAAATAGTTAACATTTTAAATTCAAAGTACAGTGACCAAGTGTTATATGTTGAAAATGAGATGTGTGAAGAATGTGACTTAGCTCTTTGAGACATAGATGATTAACATTTTCAAATAGTTCTTCATCTAACATGTAGAGCTGCCTTTAAGACACTGTGTTTTTGGAACCCAGGCCATGACTGGTCAGCTCTCTTGCCTTCAAAGAGATGTAATCTCTCAGTTGCCTGAAATTTCTTTTACATCCTTGCAGTTATTAAGCATCAACTGTATGACAGGGTGAGGTTATTTTGGGGTATATGTAGATGGGATGATTAGCAACTTCTGTCTTTACCTAAGGAGGAAGGTACGTATGTTAGATTATACACAGATGCACCTTTTATGTATGTGTGAGTAAATAGTAGGGTCTCACTATGTAGCCCAGTTTGACTTTGAACTTGCCATCTTCTTGCCTCAGACCTAAATTCACAGGCCTATACATGCCACCATGCCCAGAATATCTTTGTGTGTGTTTCATAAATATAAAAATTCTCTCAAATTTAGAGAGGGTAGTTCTCAGATGAGTTAAGGGCTTTTTGTTTTGAAGATGAAGGACTGAGTTTTCTTAAGCAGGGAAAGGTAATTCAAGAAGAAGGATCTAAGAGGATTTGGATGGAGTCTAAAGGACTTATACTTAGGATATAAGGTAAGAAAGCATGAAATAAAAACGAGGGCCAATGATAAAATTATTATTATTATTATTATTATTATTACTATTATTGTTATTGCTTTCTTTAGCTTTTTGTTTTGTTTTGTTTGTGGCAAGGTTTTGCTACGTAGCTGTGACTGGTCTGGAACTTGCTGTGTAACAAGTCTGGCCTCGAACTCCTAGAGATCCACCTCCCTCTGCCTTCAGAGCCCTGGAATTAAAGGGGTGTGCCACCACACTCAGCATAGGAGTATAGTTAATGTCAGACTAATGACTAGGTTACTAGGCAGTGAAGGATCCACCAATGATTTTTGAGTTTGGAGTGAAACAATTTTAAACCTTTGTTTCGAAGAATTAATCTAGTAGCATTGTGTAGTATGAGTTGAGATAGAAAGACCCTGAAGATTTCCATCATCATAGGGAGCAAAGCTCTGAATAGGTGGAAAGGACAAAGAAAGTAGGGTAAAATTTGGTGATTAGGTAAATGAAGAAAGTTAGAACAATTGGAAGATGACTTGTTGGGTAAAGGTACTTTCTGCCAAGTCTGATGTTCTAATTTTGATAATAGAACCCACTTGGTAGTAAGGTAATCTATTCCCAAAAGTTGTTCTCCGACCTTCGTACTTGCACAGTGCCACAAGCACAGCATCTTCTTTCACCCACAAAACAATTTTTTGAGTCAGAGTCTCACTATGTAGCTGTCCTGGAACTCACTAGGTTGGACCAGGCTGGCCCTGAACTCAGAGGGATCTGTTTGCCTCTGTCTCCTGAGTGCTGGGATTAAAGGTGTACAGAACTATACCCAACTAAAGTAATTGTTTTTAAAAACAATTAAAATAAAAGTTTTGATTCAGGTTTGTAGAGAGACTAGTGATAGGTAGCATAGAAGTGTTACCCTTAGTATGTGTGCGTAAGGTTCATAGTATTTTGGGGATTAAGAAATTTGTTGGCCATATGCACGTGTGCTTTGTGAATGTGATTTTAGGGTAATCCATGGATTACAAGAAGCTCCTACATGGGCTGTCTGTTGTGCTGGGGGCAGTTTTCAAGTACTGGAAAGTTAGTGACCCTGACTGCAGAAGAATATTGTGCAAGAACCTGGGGACAAATAAAGCACTGTATTGTGGCTCACGTTTTCTATCTACAATATTGCTTTTTATTTGTTAGATTATGGAACAAACTTGCCCAAGAGTTTAGTTATCTGTCACAAGTCTCCTTGCAAGTGGTAAAGTAGAATCTGGAGTTTGTTGGCAGTGGTGGTTTTTCCTTCCTCCCCTCCCTCCCTCCCTCCCTCCCTCCCTCCCTCCCTCCCTCCCTCCCTCCCTCCCTTCCTTCCTTTGTATGATTTAATGTTGACTGGATATAGTTACCATCTTTCAAGTGAGTCCAGAAGATTCCTCCCAGTTAAGGTGTTGTGATTCTTGGGACTTAGGTTTTCACTGGAATGTCTGTTCTCATCTTTCCTTCTGTGTACTTGAGAACTAGTGAGACTGAGGAATGATACGGGCGAGTGGAGAACAGATAGCACTATCGGTTCAGACACTTTAATTATTACTGTCTATGCGGCTCTCAATTAGGAATCAGGGAAGACATGGTCGAGACACCACCAGGGGAAGAAGAAACGAAGATCATCTTAGTCTTTTCTTTTCCTGTTTGCCTTGCTTAGTAATATGCTTGTCCTTCATTCAGGAGGACAGAAGTGAAATAGGAATTCATTTTCAGTGAATTTTATGAAGAGCATTAAGTAGCTATTGTCACTGCAGTAGTTACAGCATAGTTTGATTAGTTTAGAGTTGGCTTCTCTGCACCCATGTGCAATTGTTTCTCTGGTGGGAGGAATTGTTCCCTGTTATGAGTTGGTTTCTTTTCTAACTATAGAAATCTTGAATTCATAATCATTAGACAGGGTCTCACTGTGCAACCCTGGCTGGTCTGGAATTCCCCGTGTGGACTTTGACTCACAGAAATCTGTTTCTGCCTCTCAAGTGGTGGCACCAAGGGCTTGTGTTAGCACACCTTGCAAAATCGTTTTACTTCATTGTATGATGTATTGATAATGAACAGTGGAAAACTCAATAAATTGCTTGTTCTAAGTGGTGTCCAAGGAACTAGTCCCTAACACAGGTGGAAGAATGTCTGGCCAAAACACAAATAGATTTTCCTTTATTTGGTGGTATGGAGATGAATATCTCATGGCACAATATGATAATTTTCATTCTTTTTATGATAGTCTTTACACTTTTCATCTGATTCTTGCAACATGTGATAATTAGGTGGGTAGAAAGAAACCATCATGTTCTAATCTACATGGTTCACTGCATCTTTAAAGATTAAGTGTCCTGTATGGCCCCTTAGCACCCCAGATTAGAATTAGAACTACAACCTACATTTCTGTTCTTAATTCAATATTTTTCTCCCCCAGATTTCTGATTTTTTTGCCTACGGTGAAACTTAAAAGTTGTAGTGTAAATGAGGACTGTTGAAATACCTGTTGAAAGTATTTGTAGTCTTCTTGTGTTGACATGGTAACCTCGTTCGATGTGGCTACTGGTTGGTAATTTGGAAATTTATAAATATTTTATCACCGAATAGCTAACCTTTAGTCAAAGATAAAGCAGACATGCAAAAATGGATATCCTCTCTAGAAGAAACATTAGTAAAATGTTTACATTAATTTACTTTGGAAAATTTGCTGATTTTTTTTATTTCTGTATTTGAAGATGAAGTTTGATTATCTTATAGAAAAGCATAGCCTTGGACAAGTTTTATTTATTTATTTGTGTGTGTATCACATAAGTCAGAATCTTATTTCAAAGTGTTATTGTGATGTTTTATAATTTTTACCATTATATACTCAACCTTATATATTACCCCTCTCCATGTATAAAATATTATACACTTTGAATTCATACTTAAACATTTTGGTGTTGTAGATTGTTCTTAAAGCAGTATGTCAGATGATTTCTAAGTTACAGTGAAGAATGGCATGTGTTGCTTTGGCTTTGGCATTTCCTAAGTGTACTATTTATTCATAACACGTACTGTATGCTACTGTACCTCAGATGTGCTAACCGCTAGGGTACAGTTTTGAGACAATGCACTAGAAGCCTATTCTCTAGAACTTAGAGCTCATTAGAGTCTTTGGCATCAAGAAAAGCATAAACTTTATCTGCTGTTGTTGGTAAAGTAAAATTAATGACACCCCTTCTTTTCCTGTGGTATTTGGGCAAGTCATACAGAAACACAAGGAACTCAATACCGTTGTTTCACCTTTCTATTGCTCTGTAGCAAATAACTCTAAAACCAAAACAACTGTCTTATTGCTTATA